TACATGGAAAGAAGAGCTAGCGGCGTAGCGCTTCTTACTCTTAGCTAGTGCATGCACATGCTAGTACTAGAAGCAGATGCGATCAATATTATCCCACCTCAGCCACCAAATCTATTCCGGAGGACCGATCCGGATCTACATGTAAGCAGGGCAAAACATTCTCTGGGAACCACACTCCTCCACAACTCCATGCACATAATTATACATGGTGTGCAATATTAAACTCGAATGTTGAGGCAATAAGAAAATTTAGAGAAAGGAAAGGAACATGTAACTGTGTTTTAAAGTTGAAACCGTGTAAGGGGTGTAGTAGGTTGCGTGTTTTGAGGCTCCCGTTTTTCCGTAGTTTTTAGGTAGCTTTTGGGGACTAGCCCCAACAGCCTGGGTGGGATGGCTAGCCCAGATCACACTGAGCAGCTGGTGACCGCCGAACAGGTCCATACACAGCTTCGCTCATTGCCTGGCATCGAACACAATGTTGTAGAAGTGCTGAGAACTCTAGCTCGTCTTGAAAGCCAACTCCAGGACCAGGAGAAACGATATCAACGAAGGATTAGTGGATTGAGCTCCGAACTTTCCCAGCTGAGAGAGGACCTGGCCGACACTCGCCTGTGCCAAAATTTGGACATCGGCAATGTTACGTGTGCGTCTTGTAAATCAAACTCCTCCGCCATTGCAGACCTAGAGAGAGAGCAAGAAACAACCAGCCAGAGGCAGCGCCGAAATCGAAAGAAACGTAGTACAGCCACAGAAAGTCGTTCACAGTCCGCCGTACCCGTAGAGAGTTCACGACCCATTGATCCCGAGATGGACCTGACCATGTCGACCAGCAGTGTCAGATCCGACGTTGACAGCTCAAACAACAAGCCGTCCAACTCCCGTACACATGGTTCACCCGGACCCAGCTCGGAGTTGACCCCGCCACGTGTGGATCGCTTGCCGAAATTTGAAGAGATGAGTGAGGATTCGGACGCCACATGGCGACTCATCACCTCCACCAAACCGACAGCGAAGAAGAGAGTCCTGTTTGTCGGAAATCTGATGCATGCAATTACTGCAGACCAGCTGAAGGAGTTTATCGCAGCAAGAGCAGCTGAGGCTGACCACAATGTCCAAGTGTTTGACGTAAAAATATTTCAAAAAGAAAAATCCTCCACTGCGCGTATTGTTGCCAGTGCAGCGGACGAATCGTTTCTCAGCAACAAGCGCTTCTGGCCAAGGCCTGTGTACACAAGAGAGTGGAACTTCGATAAGTACACCCAGTCTGATGCCAGTGGAGATCAACAAACAGCGCAGAGCAGCACCACGACCACCAACAGCAGCAGCAGCCCCACGGACGACAGTAAGAGCGGATACAGCGTGGATTGCGATATCCTAGATGACACCTGTGGAGCACCGGCCCGGACTCCAGGCCAGAAATCACGGGGCTATCAGCGTGACTCGCCGCCAGAGACGCAAGCTGCGAAGTTTAGTGTCACTGTTGGCAACGCATTTGCATCTCTAAGTCAGGATGTGGATAATATATCTGTGCAATGACTGGAAGAAGATTAGGCAACGACCCTGCTGCTCATGAACTGAATATCCTGTCCATCAATATCAGAAGCCTGCGCCACAAACTGCGTGATGTTCTGGATCTTGCTGAAGGAACAAAATCTGACATACTTGTAATTTGCGAAACATGGCTGGACTCATCCGTCACTCCTGGCGATCTCCACCTCCCAGGCTATAACTTAGAAAGGCTAGATCGCAGCGGAAATGTTGGTGGTGGTGTCTGCATCTATTGGAAAGCTGAACTCAACTGCCAACCCAGGCCTGATCTCGTTTCTCCAGGCATAGAATGCTGTTGGATTGAAGTGAAAACCAGCCATCAGCCATGCCTGATTGGGAGCTTATACCGGCCACCAGGGTGCACTGTTTCATACTGGGACTCCTTTGAAGCCCTGCTGAGTAAAGCCTGCAGCCCAACGACGCAGACAATACTTTGTGGAGACTTTAATGTTGACACCAGTCGCAATTGCAGTAATCATATGCGGCTGGCTGATATTGCTACAAGTTATGGACTGCAGCAGCATGTACGCAGCCCCACTCGTATTGGACTAAGAGGACCACCAACTACAATTGACTTAGTATATAGCACAATGGGATGTGCTTCTCCTGCTACGACTCATGCTATCTCCTTCAGCGACCACCATGCTGTGACAACCCCTTTCAACATGGTTCCAATTCGAATTCCTCCTGCAGCTCCTGCACAGACACGGAACATCAGACGTATCAATATGGACCTGTTTCGGCAAGATATCCAGTGTGCTAACCTGTGCTCCATGAAGGGAACCTGTACCGAAATGTGGACCCAGTGGCACGAGTGTCTCATGTCACTCGTAGATCAACATGCACCACTCCGGCCTCGGAAGCACCGTGCCCACAATGTCGCACCATGGTATACCTCGGAGCTCGCAGCGCTTGTACGCAGGCGCAATAAACTGCATCGTAAGTGGCTGAGAACCAGACTTGATGTGGACTACCGCAGCTTCCAGCAGAGCAGACGGGAGGTTACCCGCACTAGCCGAGCACTGAAGGAACAGCATTACAATGAAGCATTTGTGAACGCTACAGGGAACCCAAGGCAGACTTGGCGTGTATTGAATCAGCTGAGCGGACGGCAGCCAGTCCACACTCTTCCCAAATGCTCCCCGGATGACATTGGTAATGTGTTTGCAGGCATTGTCAATGATCCTCAACGTCCCCCAGCCTTGACTCTACCTCAAGGCCCCATGTCTCCGAACAGCCTTTCAATCTTTAAGCCTGTTACCATTGCCCGTGTGCGTAAGCTCCTATCGTCAATAGCCATGACAAAAGCTACTGGCAGTGATGGCTTGCCCGGAACGATTCTTAAATCATGCGCTGACCTTCTTGCACCCTCACTGATGCTCATCTTCAACAAATCATTGTCCGAAGGCCAGCTGCCACCGAACATGAAAATCGCCAACATCACTCCCGTCTACAAAGGTGGTGACCCCAGTCAACCCACCAACTATAGACCTGTCTCTTTGCTCCCTATAGTCTCCAAGCTGCTTGAGCGTATCGTCCATGAGCAACTCAGTCAATACCTGGCTGAACATAATCTTTACCCTTCCTGTCAATTTGGCTTCAGACGCCAGCACTCTACAGAGGATGCTCTCACAATGGTTACAGACAAATTCCTAAGAGCCCGAGATGACGGGCTGTCAACTGGCGCTGCTTTCCTGGACATGTCAAAGGCCTTTGACAAGGTCCAGCATCAGACACTTGTCGAAGACCTATTCCAGCTTGGAATCTCCGGCACAGCCCTGAACTGGTTAAGCGACTACCTCTCAAATCGTCAACAACAAGTCGTCATCAGCGGCGATAGTAGCTCATCTTTCACGTGCTCAAGTGGGGTTCCCCAAGGGTCTGTACTGGGACCACTATTGTTTGTCATATATGTCAGGGATGTGGCCAGTGAAGTGGATCAGTTTGCCGTCCAGGTAACCCAATTCGCGGACGACATCATGCTACACGATAGCAGGAAGGACAAGGTAGTGCTGTCACACAACCTGTCTTCAGCCATCACCCATCTCAGCAACTGGCTTGGTGAGCGCAACCTAATCCTGAATAGTCGAAAAACACAAATATTGTTTATTCCTGCCAATCGTCATGACGACAAGACATTGAATGTGCACTGTGCAGCTACACTCCTCCAGCAAGTGACAAGCGCCAAGTACCTGGGCTTGCACATCGATGACGACCTGAAATGGAACACAATGGTTGACCATATAGCCAAGACAGTGTCCTCAAAGATTGCCATTCTCTTCCGCCACAGGCAGTGCCTCCCAATGCCATGCCGCTCAACCTACTTGAGATGTATAATTTTACCCACATTCCAATACGCATGCAACAGCTTTTCCTCTTCCCTTTCCTCTGCACAACGTGATCGTCTTGAGAAACTTCTCAAGCGAGCTGTGCGTGTTGCCTGCTCTGCTCCGTTCCTGTCTCCAACTGCCCCTCTTTTTGAACGCCTCAGCATTCAACCCCTGCAATCAATGTATTGCCGCAAACTCCTCCTGCTAACATTTCGTGTAATTCATAATAACTGTAGTGTGCTTCTTCATGACCTTGTCACACCTCTGTCACACACCCGTCGAACGAGGAGCACAGATGTTCCCCTGCTTCTTTTCCCGAGGATCATATCTGCCGCTGCCACACGCAGCCCTTCATATCAATGTCCCGCTCTCTGGAATAAGTTGCCTGCATCTATACGATCACTGAAGAAACCAGGTCAATTCCGGACCGCTCTCTTACCCCACCTGAAAAATTCACCGACTTACGTTGCTCACTGATCAAATAATTATGCAATCTTTCCTCTGCTAGCTAGCTGCTGTCTTAAATCCTACTCTTTTTTTCTATTTTCTTTTTTTTCTTTTTAATCTTTTCCTTACATTTGTGTGCCTGTTTGTCTTTAGTCGATCTCATGTAATAAGGCAACACTGCCTGTTTGTTATTCGACGTTAAATAAACCAATCCAATCCAATCCAAATGTGTTGTTTGGAGCTAGGTGTCAGCCTCGCCGAATGTCTGCAGTACTCTGTCAGTGTTGTGGCTAGTTGTTGCACTTTCTGACTGTATATAGTATCTAGTTACAGTGGTGGACAGTTACTCCTAACCTGTATCCATATGTTCCTTTCGCTCACAAACATATACATGTACATGGCTCAAATCCGTTGATCCCCGAGCTGCAGAGACAGTACATGGCTCCATATAGTCTGCTACCTCTAGCTCTGCGCACAGGCAATGACTTCAATGTCTTTCCTTTCGTTGCTATGTCTAACATAGCGAACAGCTATGTTAGACATAGCAACTTGTGCTGGGACACACACACACACACAAACACACACACACACACACACACACACACACACACACACACACACACACACACACACACATGTACATACACCCACATACACACACACACATTGCAGACGTGACTTTGAACAAGTATGACAACAGAAGCAGAGCAGTACCACAGGTATGCACAAAACTCGATTCACGCCGTGCTTCGCAGCAGGCAGCAATCATGCCTTTAATAAACGCATTATCAAGACTTTGTATAATCATGTTATCCAGACAGCAGATGCACCCAGGCAATGTACCGGGTCCAGACCTCTGACGAAACAATTAATGCACGGACACTGGGCTATAACAACGTATAAATAATTACCCGACAGTCGAGTTCTCCGAGTTCTATGTGTTGGTAGCAAGACTGACGATCCTGTAAGGACATGACCATGTTGTGTTGAATCCATCAAGTAAGTGCTAGTTGCAAATGTAGTCTAGCTGAATCTGTGCAGTACTAACTCCTGTTTGTCTTCTGGGTATGAATGCAACTGTAACTGAATGAGCTGCTAGACCTATTGATCAACGTTGAAGTTATTTTCTAGATGGGGAGGTGGTCGGTCTGCAAATCATTTGGACTTGTCAGTGAGGTGCTGTAAGTACATGTGTTGGTGCCGCAGCTGGGGTGTCGGAGATGCGGCTCACTTCTTCTTTGCCTGCGCGTCGGGGATGTCCACGCTTGCCGTGCCAAAGAACGCTTGCTTTTGCCTGTAGGAAGTAGAGCACAGGGATGCAATTGTCGGGGGAACGTTCGTTATGCATGTGCTGCCACACAAGTATGCAGAGCCAGTGAATATATTCTAGTTTTGTCTAAGAAGGTCTTTAGGAAATTTGAGGCCACATGCCACGTACTGCTCTTTTCTCTCCGAAACTCAACACTTGCAAGCCAGATATATGAAAGAAAGAAAAAAATCATCAGTCACACCACCGGGACTCGAACCAGGGACCTTGCTATTTGCGAGCAATGCTCTAACCAACTGAGCTACAGTATGACTCTTATCCACAGTGATGGTACATCTATCGGTGGTGTGACTGATGATTTTTTCTTTCTTTCATATCTGGCTGGAAGTGTTGAGTTTCGGAGAGAAAAGAGCAGTACGTGGCATGTGGCCTCAAATTTCCTAACACTTTGAAAATTCTCCGTGAAGTCCAAATTTGAAATTGCAATTTGTATTTGCTCGCAGTGGACATAGTTTGATGCGCTCCCCATGATATCAAGCGAATGGCCGAGGGCCCTCTTGATTGGTGTGAGTTGCCAGTATGATGCAAGCCAGATATTGATTGATCGAAGAAGGATAGATTTACCATCACTGTGGATAAGAGTCATACTGTAGCTCGGTTGGTTAGAGCATTGCTCGCGAATAGCAAGGTCCCTGGTTCGAGTCCCGGTGGTGTGACTGATGATTTTTTCTTTCTTTCATATCTGGCTTGCAAGTGTTGAGTTTCGGAGAGAAAAGAGCAGTACGTGGCATGTGGCCTCAAATTTCCTAACACTTTGAAAATTCTCCGTGAAGTCCGAATTTGAAATTGTAAGAAGGTCTTTGCTAACCTTACTAAACCTTACTTAACCGTACAAAACCTTACTAAACCTTACTTAACCTCGCTAAACCTTGCTAAACCTTGCTAAATCCTACTTAACTTTACAAAACCTTACTTAACCTTACTTAACCTTACTAAACCTTAGTAAACCTCACTACACTTACTTGAACGAGAGACGGTCAGGCTTCTTCCGCTGGCTGCTTCGTAGCTCCTTCAGTCGGAAGGACGCTCTTCTCACGAACTGAGACTCCTCTTCCGGTTCTTCATCATCGTCCTCAGGTTTCTCCAGCTTCTTCTCCTGTTCCTGCAATAATTTTAAGGTTTTGGAAAGATACGCAAGGGAAACATTGCAATTTAAGACTGAGAGCCCTTAGATGGCTCAGTGTTCCTATGGTCACATCTTGCCAGGCGAGCTGTAAAGGTTACAGTACTGTCGGTCGCCGAAGAACTGGGGGGGTGAGGGTCAACCCCCTAGCCTAGACCGTTCTTATTTTCATATATTACAGTCTATGCGCAGTTGAGTCACAGTGTAGACGTTGGTATGCTAGTGTGCTTGATGACATTCTAGCCTGGTCGTTCTTCGGCGCTACCCGACATCACTGTATGTGATAACAGCATCAGTTGGGAGCTGTGGCCTCAAGCCGCGACACAGCCATGCACTAGGTGAAGCGAAACCGTTTGTAGGGGTGGGGGAGAGGGGGGGGGGGGGGCGTGGGGGCGTTGGGGCACTGGAAAGGCATAAGACAGCTGACTGAACAATCACATCTGACACACACACACACACACACACACATGCACACCACTGACACGCGTGCCTCGTCTACCCTCATCTGCGCCGTCCGCAAACTTACGCCTTCTTTGTCCAGCGCGGCCAAGACTTCCTTTGCAGCGCGATTCTGCGCAATGGCTCGCCTCAGCTCTGTTCAGGCAGCAGCACAGAGAGGAGGAGATGTGAAAAGAAAGAAGATACCATCCTATGCAAGTCTCCTCACAATGCAGAACAGTACAGGTTAAAGAGGCCCGCATCTCCCGATATATGCCTAGCCCTAACAAAGGCAGCATTACCTGTGGTCTAACTTAGTACATTGAAACCTCGTTTAAAGAAAGAACTAGGATTCTGAACTCTACTGGATAGATCACTGTGTACTCACCGGCTATACAATATGGATAAGAAGAACTCCCGTTTTGCAAACAAACACCATTGGTTCCTTGGTGTTCGTCAAAAAGAGATGTGAGCGTACATGTACTAGTCGTTGGTATTCGTAGTATTATTATTATTATTATTTATGGTGGGTGGGGAGCAAACCATTATTATTTATCATTCTCTTATTATTGACCCCCACAGAAACTTGTGATCTCTTTAGGTATGCTATGTCATGATAAATCTGTTATTGCCCTCATAATCGGTCAATATATGAAATATATTGACCAATAATAGATACATATTGCTTCTTTCGAAGTAATAATTATTGGATCTTATTTTACTCCATACCTTCACTGCCACCACCAGACCCGGAGCTTGAGTGGCGTCGATCCTGCGGCAGCGTATCCATGCTCGATGCTCTGCCAAGAGTGTCCGGCTTAGGCTGAGCCTCCGACACGCGAGGCGCGGACGCTGGGGCGGTGGGTTTATCACTCGTACTCGCACTCGGTGGGCGCTCGACCGGCGTGCTTGGGACACTGACCGAGCTGGGTGCTGCAGTGCCGGCACCACCACCACCACTGCTGGTGGAACTTGTGGACGGTGCTGGCGATCTGGCGATTGATTTGTCGCCAGTGCGGCTCCGGTTCAGTGCGCGTATATCGGGGATGTTGGCGTCGACGACGGCGGTGGCAGCTTTCATCGGTGTTACGCTGCTGGACGGGTCACTGACAGTGCTGCTAGTTGTTGTGATTGTTGAGGATGGTTTTGCCGGTGTCCCTGTAGTGTGCCCACCAGCCGTGCTACCTGTCTGGGTAAGTGGCGAGCTATCAACACCGTCGCCGCCACCGCCCAGGCTGGACTTGCGGCGCGCCTCGTCCCGTGCGGCCTGCATCACTGCCGCGCTCATGCGACTGTGCTGGCTGTCGCGCTCACTGGCAATGTGGGCCTTGTCGTCCGCTGTTGCCGGCGCTGCCACCACCAGCGGCGTTCCCAGGCCCAGCGACGAGCGACGTGGCGTCTGTGCGGCTATGACAGTCTGTGACAAAGTCTGCAAGCAGAAATATACACAACACACGATTGGCACTTTAATATAGTACTGTTGGGCGCTGAAGACTGGAGCGCCAAGGAATGACCAGGCTAGGACTTCATCCAGCACAGCATACCAATATACACACGGTGACTCAACTGTGCATACACTGAAGTACATGAAAATAGGAACAGCCTAGACTACGAGGCTGTTACGTGATACCGTAAAAGCCCCTGTATACGCCCACTCGAAATTACGCCCACCCTCTGTGTACACGCCCAGTCAGGGGAAGTCAACACTTTTGTTTCAAAATAGCGCCCATGCCCATGTATACACCCAGGTATGCCGGAAACACCAGTACATGTACAGGTACTGATACCCAATACTTACTGCTATCCCTATTCCCAGTATACGCCCGGTTCCAAAATAACGCCTGTGCCCTTGTATATGCCCAGGAAATCGAGGCTGCTATTCTATACGCCCAGGGCCTATACACAGGCTTTTACGGTATGTCTTTGCTACGTCAGCCTGCGACCAGCGCGGCCCGACTAACCTTCGCCTTGGCTATGCTCGACTCCATCTCAGCACCGGTCATGGTGTGACGGCGTGTCATGCCTAGAGATGACCTCACCTACAGATAGTAGCATGCACAAACCAAATCATAGCTCAGCTAGAAATCCAGCATTGAATGCGCAAACAGAAGTGCACTGTGCAGTGGTATGCATGTTCATATGCAGACGTCATGTACATGTAGTGAGTTGCACAAAGAGTCCAAAAAATGGTGTCCCAGCCCAGAGTTCATAGACTCTCTATCTTTCTTTCTCCTTCACTCACACATACACACACACACACACACACACACATACACATACACACACATATCCACACAATGATATACACGCAAATCACTCAACTCTCTCATCACCACTTACGGGCGATCCCCTGGCCGAAAGGCCTGATGAAACACTTTTCGGTTTCTCTGGTGCTTTGTCAGCAAACACAGCATCCTAACAGTATGAACGCATACATAGTATGCACACAAACAGACAGATAGACACACACACACACACACACACTCACATAGGCCCACGCATACACGGGCCCACGCATACACAGACAGACAGACAGACAGACAGACAGACAGACAGACAGACAGACAGACAGACAGACAGACAGACAGACAGACAGACAGACAGACAGACAGACACACACACACACAGGCACACGCATACACGGGCCCCACGCATACACAGACAGACATACAGACAGACAGACAGATACAGACAGAAAAACAGACAGACACCAGGGTCTTTTTAATGCTAGCCACGATCAAGTAAGATACACATATATACATCATATTAGTCGCTGTCTGGCGATCGGTTAAAAACTCAAGAGTTACAGCAGAAACGCTTTTTGATTCCTTATTTCAAGTGTAATTATGTGATTGATGCCCCTTCCGCTTCCATAGATTGTGACATTAGAGTCAAGTCAGTCAACACATTGCCTTTGTCGCCAGTATTGTTGTGTGAAGGACCCACCATGCCATGAGCACTGACACACATACAGACACTGTGCACTGCGAGCATGAATGCACAAGGTGTGCGAGAGTGACATTGCCATTCCGCGGATAAAATCACTTACGTCAGCTTCACCGCCGATGGTGACCCAGGTCTCAATCAGGTCTGGATCAGGGTTATTGTAGAACTGCATCAGATTAACTTGGACTTTACCCTGGCAACAGAAATTCAACAGTATGAACATCAGTTTAGATTAATAATATAATAATCTTTGTGTGTGTGCGTGTGTGTGTGTGTGTGTGTGTGTGTGTGTGTGTGTGTGTGTGTGTGTGTGCCAGCTAGTTCGGTTGGTGGGTACACTTACGCCTGATTGTGTTGGGTCTGTTGCCAACGGGCTCGGCTACTTGAAGGTGTAATGTTGTACCTGCCACCTTTGTTGGTTCCAGGGTTCATATACTTTCTGTTTGAAGTATCATGACATACCTGTTAACCATGGACTACAGTTAGGGGTGAAACGATTTGTTCGAATATTCGAGTATTCGAAATTTTGCACTCGATGGTTTTTTTTTTTTTTTTTTTTTTTTAGTATTGGCATTCTATTTCTCAAAAACTTTTGTTGTACCGCTCGTCCACTGGTACATGGTATACATGTACATGTGTTTGCATGCCTTTGAGTCAGTATTGTATGACTTGGACGATGCAATCACCACGGCAAGTAACTGAGATATGAAAGTACTGATGAAAATCGTTACTTTACACTCTGTACAAGACGTTGGCGACCTTTGTTTTATGTTCACAGATAATTTCTTCCCGAATTTGTGGAAAACTCACAAATCTAGCCCTTTTGAATTTTGATAAAATACTCGAAATAATCGGATACTCGATCGAATATTATGAACGAGTGATCGATTGGTCAAAATAGATACTCGTTTCACCCCTGTAGTACTTCTGGCTAGATTAACCCTTGTGTAATCAACGGTGCTAGTGAAGCTTATATCAGATCCACTCTGATTTAGCCACCCACACTAGTAGCAAGTATTACCTTCACTGGGGGCAGGGGTAACTGCAGTTGGATCCCAGGACGGATACCCTGATGCCGTCAATCCTTTTTCACCCACTTACTGAGGTGTGGTGAGCCCATAAGTGGGATCATTTTGAAGTCCACCCAGAGTTTTGGGGATTTCAGGGGGTGTCGGCCGTTGGGCGGTTCAATAGCCAATTGAGTCATCTTTCCCAGATTCCTTTTGAGTCTCTCTCCCCTCTCCCGAGGAGACCCACGTGACCAGTTTTGGCAGTGAGCAACAAGTACAAGTACAAGTGTGTTTGTGTGTGTGTGTGTGCGTTTGTTGTTCGCCAGGTTGTGGAGAAGTGTCACGAGCACCAATCCAAGGGATTCCTGGTGTTTGTCGATTTGAGGAAGGCATACGATTCAGTTCCGCGTGCTGCACTGTGGATTGTCCTGCTGAAGCTGGGAGTCCCGGAGCAACTGGTCAGCCTTCTGAAGTCTTTTCACGACAACATGACAGCCACGATCATCGTCAATGGTTCCCCCACTGAAGGCTTCTCAGTGTGCAACGGATTGCGCCAAGGGTGTACAATGCCACCAGTCCTTTTCAACTTGTTTGCTGGTGCAGTGATGGAACGTCCAAGAGCGTGGAGTGTCTGGTTTTCCACTTCGTACCTGGGCCGATGGTCAGCTTTTCAAGAGATCTAAGCGTGGTAATGATATGATCATCACGGACGGTGAGTTTACTGATGATGCAGCCTTGTTTGCACCCAGCCACTCGGATGCTCAGCGTATGCTTGAGATATTTGCGGAGGTCAGTGGAGCATTCGGGCTGTCTCTCAACATGATAAAGACAGTGATCATGGCTGTTGGGCACCAGATCAACGACAGCGACCGTACCCCGCTAAGCGTACAAGGCAACGCCATCCAGCATGTCAGCCAGTTCACATATCTCGGCTCAGTGGTAACACCAGACGGACGATGCCACACCGATGTGTCCAACCGCATAGCTGCTGCATCTAAGGCCTTTGGCAGCCTCTACTCGTCAGTTTTTCGGAACATTTCACTAACATCTAAGACGAAACAACACACGTACACATGTTGTGTGTTGTTGGTGCTGTTGTACGGGGCTGAGAACTGGACACTGTTGCGTGCCGACATACGTCGCCTTGAACAATTCCACAACCGCTGCGTTCGTGTCATTCTCAGCATCTCGCGTTCCAAACAGTGGTACCACCTGTCATCTGCCTCGCTGCATAGAATGTGCGCTACAGAGCCAGTTGCTGACATGGTTGCCCGTCGACGGCTGCAGTGGCTTGGCCACATTGCCAGGATGGACGACCACCGGCTTCCAAAGGCAGTGTTGTTCTCGTGGCTCCATACTCCCTGCCCTGCTGGCGTGATGTGGTACGCGATGACCTCAAGGCGTTCAGTCTATACACCGATTGGCACGACCTCGCAGCTGAACGTGGCGAGTGGATCCAGTCCATCTCGGATGCCATTGTTGCACGGCGCTTACGGCTTGAAACGACAGCCAAGTCAGTGTGTTGTGCGATCTGTGAGCAACTCTTCGCCAGTGAAAGCGGACTTCGGCGGCACAAATGCAGGGAAGAGCGACTGAAGTCGATCCATGAACAGGCCGGTGCTGTGTTGTGCGAAACGTGCCATCGTTGGTTTGCTAGCCGAGGTGGATTTGCTGTGCACCGCTGCTCTCCCAGCCTTGGTGACGCTCCAGTTCCAGAGATAGTTGCACCTCGCCCACCTGATTGCAGCCAATGTCAGTACCACTGCCACACCTGTGACCGCTGTTTCCGGAGCAAAGCTGGGCACCGCCGGCACAACTGCAACTGCAGAACATGCAGCTCTGGCTCCGAGCGCCGCACCATCCCATGCCCGACCTGCTCTCGGAAGTTCACACGTCTCCAGTACCTGGCTCAACACAAATGCAAGAAGTAACTCTGCCCTCATTGCCTCTTTGAGGCACTGCATCACCTTTAGGTGGCAGTTTCAAGGTTCAAGGTTCAAAGTGCACACGTATGTGTGCGTGTGTGCAGAACGTGTTGTAGAAGTTTCTACTAATGCACAGAATACACAATCATCGTGTTTGATGGAGTGAAGCATACGCTTACCAAGCATGTTTCGCTGGTGCCGTCAGTGACAGACCACAACGACACCTGTAGCTTCTTCCACTTGCACGATGTCTGCATATGGACATGGACAGGTTCAAATACATGCATGCTCTAGCTTCAAGTACATCCGAGCTAGATCTTCATCATTTCAATGATTTCAAGGCATTCCTCCCCTACAATTACATGAGAATACACCTGCAGAGATCATGTTGGTATTTTAACATTCAGTCCGATACAGTAAAAGCTGTCAAGACCACCCCTCTGACCAGGTCACCGCCTGTCCCAGAGCACCTCTACAACTACAGTCCATTTCAAAACTATAGACGCGTACCTAGGCAAAACCGTTATGCCAGCATCTATACCACATAAAATCTGTGATCACTTTGTGCATAATATTTTCCAAATTGGGCGTCTGTTATCCAATCACTTAGAAACTATAAGAGAGAAATTGTGGAGCGGACCTGAGCAATATTCCGAAAACTATTCTCAAAACGTTTCAGCCAAATTTGAAATATTTCAAAAACACTACGTGTCTATAGTTTTGAAATGGACTGTAGGCAAGTGATGTTATTTCCAGTCACATGACACTGGCTTAAGAGACAACCTGTACAGTGTACATGGCGGCTACATTTTGAAGTTCCCTTGAGCAGTCAAGTTAGACAGGTTTCACTGTACCCAAGTCTTCATTGCAATCTTTCCAACACACAGAGGCCATGGGAATCCAGCAGAGTCAATACTATAATGTACTTCACGTACTAAAGAAGTTGAAACATTGTCCATGATAAATTCATTAGCTGGAGGGAATTGAATAGAAGAATACCCATGATGGTTACCCGACAATTAGATAATTAATTCACCAGATATGTGCATGCACGCACATGCACATGTACGCACGCATGCGCGCATGCACACACACACACACACAAACACATACACGCACACACACACACACACACACACACACACACACACACACACACACACACACACACACACACACACACACACACACACACACACACACACACACACATACACGCACACACACACATACGCACACACACACACACACACACACACACACACACACACACATACACGCACGCACGCACGCACGCACGCACGCACGCACGCACGCACGCACTCACGCACGCACGCACGCACGCACGCACGCACGCACGCACGCACGCACACACGCACGCACACACACACACACACACACACACTACTACTACTACTACTACTATGTACAGCTACCCTATCGGGCCACGCCGCTCCCAGAAGCGGGAGACAACGACAAGAAGAGAGAAGAGAAGAGAAGACACACACACACACACACACACACACCTGTCCTGTCCTGTAGAGTCACTGCCGCAAAAGGGTCACGTGATCCCATCACTGGGAAACTTGAGAAGAGAGAGAGAGAGGACACGACGCTCGATGACGCTCCAGGTGCACGGGTAGTCGCATCCGCTTGCCGCATATGCACACGTGCTGGAAGGCTGAGCGCTCCGCTGCTGTTGGTCTATGAGCCACCCTTGAACAGCGATGCCTTCCCCGTCCCCGGACACCGCGAAAGCAGCGACCACACCTGTCACAATGCGCGGCACAACATCCCTCCGCCGGTGCCGACGCTCCGGTAGTTCCAGGTGGCACTGCGGCATCCACCGTTGAGGCACACACATGCCGGACCAAGCCACCGCGGCTTCTCAGCCACCGCCCACACCGCCCGCACTGACTGGCGCCCCGCTGCTCAGACACAGGCCGCGCACGCTCCTCCAGACACTTATGCCGAGCCATGTCTCCTTTCCGTGCAAAATCCCGTCCGCATACCGTACATACCACTCGGGGCGGAGGCTCAGGCACATTGTCAGGCTCTTGGTAGGTGCTGCGCCACTCCGCGCGAGACTCACATGCAACATCATACCATGATGCCTCCACGCCACGGGCACGTAGATCTCGGACAGCACAGTCCTTCCATCTGCGGCGTGGGCCATGTCGCGGAGTGGCGCCATGTGCTGGGCGACGCTGCAAGAAGGAGCCAAACAGTACCTGTTTTGGGATGCGGTTGTCCGGCATCCGCGCCACATGCCCCAACCACTCCAACCGCCGATGTGCAATTTTGTCTTTAATCGTCTCGGAGTCTCCCCAGCGCACCAGTAGCTCTTCATTGGTGATGTGTTCGTCCCACATCCGGCTTCGAGAGACCCCGAGGATGGATCGGATGCACCTCATGCTGAAGGTTGAGAGCTTCTGCAGGTCATGCTGAAGGGGCGTCCAGCACTCAGAGCCATACAACAGCAGGGACAGAACGCAAGCATTGAATACGCACCGCTTGGTGTGCATCAGCAGATGTGGATTGGAGAATACAGACCTCCGAAGAGCACCGCAGGCCCTGGAGGCTTGGGCAATCCTTGCGGCGATGTCCCGAGACGAACGGCAACCGCTGTCCACTACAGAACCGAGGTATTTGAAATGCGGTACGCATTCCACCTCCGCTTGACCAAGTTGGAGGGGAGCGCGGTCAGTAAGCGTGATGCCGGGGCCAACAACTACAAACTGAGTCTTCGTTGCACTGATGGTCAAGCCGAATCCCGACGCCACCTCGTGAAGACAGCACAATGCTGCCCCCGCTCCAGACCGAGTCGTAGCGAATAAACAAGAGTCGTCAGCAAACTGGGAATCTGTTAGGCAATGGTGTTGGTCGTCACGGCGGGGTTTACGGTATAAATCGCTGCTGTATGCTGAGCGGAGCTCGAAGCCAACCCCGTCAACTCTCCTGACGCGGTGTTGCCACTGGGTCATCACGGCCCACATAAAGATATTAAAAAGGACCGGCGCCATAGAGCACCCCTGGCGAAGACCATTGCCAATGCTGAACGGGTCTGATAATATGTTGTTGAACTGCACCGATGCTGACATGGGGTCGTGGAACGACCGGATGATGTTGATAAGCTTTTCTGGTACTCCCGCACGGCCGAGGACCTGCCACAGACACCCCCTGGGCACTGAATCATAGGCCTTCTTCAGGTCGATAAACACAAAAAATCCCTTGGCCTGATGTTCGATTGACTTTTCCATGAGCTGTCGGACGGTGAAGATCATGTCAGAGCAGCCACGCCCTCGCCGGAACCCGCACTGGGACTCAGGGAGAAATTCCTCTGCGAATACCTGCAGCCTTCTCTGAAGGACACTCGCCAAGACCTTGCCGACCACATCCAGCAACGCAATGCCCCGCCAATTGTCGCACTGCGACAAATCTCCCTTCTTTGGAATGGGGATGAGGGTAGCATCCGCCCACTCCCGCGGAACGCAGCCATCTCGCCACACATCTCCAAACAGCTCCATGAGCTTGTTGTTGAGCTCCTCGCCACCGAACTTTAGCAACTCTGGCTGTATCCTCGATGAACCAGCAGCGGTGCCATTGCGAAGTCGAGAAATGGCCTTGGAGATCTCATGCATGGTTGGTGGTTCCTCAAGGCTCGACACTACAGGTCGCTGCTCAACGCAAGCCATGATATCGGGGTTGTACGAGCTCTCTGGGTTCAGGACAGATGTGAAATGCCTCTGGAACCGCTTGCATTGATCCTCAGTCGACTGGCACAGGTTTCCATTCTCGTCCTTAATGGCGGAAGTCTTGCACGGAGTTAATCCCTCACATGCAGCGTGGATAGCATGAACGCATTTCCAGACGACTGCCCCATTGAAGCGCGCCTCTGTTGCCTCCTGTGCCTTATTCAAAATCCAAGCCTCTTTGGCATTTACAACGGCTGCGCGCGCCTGCGATCGAGCAGCCCCGAAGCTGGCCCAATACGTGTCGCCCCTCTGCTGACCGTGGGCAAGCCACTCCGCGTAGCACTCATTGCGGGCGCGCAGAAGGGGCTGTATGGTTGCAGAGTTGTCATCATACCAGTCGGCCTGACGGCGTTCGCTCGGGCCCAATACATCAGCGGCTGTGGCAACCACGGTATTGCGCACATGGGTCCACTTCTCCCCAACGCTACCATCGCTGCTCCAGCAATCTCGCAATCCAGCAGATAAAGCGGCACGATACTTGTCCGCGGTGGTCACGCAGCGCGGGGGGCGACGTCCCACATCGTTGACGTCTTGTAACGTGGATGCGCAGGAATCCGATTGATCATGCTCGGCCACCGCCTTACTCCGCAGCTTGCCGACATTAAATCGGCGCCCCCGGCTCGCTCCACGTCGGGCAACCCCCACCGGGCGATGCGGGAACTCAAAGACTATACAAAGCAGCTGGTGGTCACTGCCACACTCAGCACCACGAACAACGCGCACGTCCCTGCAAAATCGCCGATGATCCTGACGCATCAAGATATAGTCGATGCAGTGCCACTGCAGAGAGCCGGGGTGCTGCCACGTCCGCTTGAAGATATCCCGCTTGGGGAACCAGGTGTTGCAGATCCACAAATTATTTATTGCTGCAAACGACAGTAGCTCATCTCCAGAGGAATTCAACTGTCCAAAACCATGCATGCCGCGCACACCACTCCAGCCATCGTCAGCTGTTCCTGAACCCACACGGGCGTTGAAGTCTCCAAGCAGAATACAGCAGTCCCTGTCAGGAACGCCAGCTATTACCTCCTGCAACTGTTCGTAAAACTGATTTTTGCTGGCACGCGGAGCTGCATAAGTCGGAGCATACGCACTGACTACCGTCACCCATGCGACTTCTCCCCCACGCAGGGCGAATTTGAGACGTGCAGTGACAAGACGAGGGCCCACAGCCCGCCAGACCGAACCACCATTCTTCCACGCGTCTGTTGCAAATTTATTGAGTGCCAGGGCGACTCCTTCTCCTCGTCTGTTGTCCGGAGCTCCATCGCCAGGCACGGGGCGACCCGAACACAAGATAGTAAAACCGTCAACGACATAAATGTCATCGCCGAACCAGTGTGTCTCCTGCAATCCAGCCGCCGCCACGTTCAACCTGCGCAGCTCGGCAGCAACACGACGACATTTCTTGTCCTCTGCTACTCGGCCAGAAACGCTCGCCGTAGCTACGCCGCCACTCCTTTCCACAAGGGAGCGAACATTCCACGACCCAAACGTCAAGCAGCGCCGTCCCTCTCTCCCACTCTTCTCCCTCTCCTTGACGTACTTCATAGCTTTTCGGAGCTGGATGGAGATATTCCACTCGGGGGCTCGTCACACCACCGCGAGTGGCGACTTCGGGCGCAGCAAGAGGTGGCGGTATCAAAAAAACTCGCCTCGTCCTCCTGCTACGTGGCTCCCGTCGTCGGCAGCTCACTGTCTACGTACTGGCCCTGGAGACAACCCTCAAGGGGTCGCTCCAGGCCTCTCTTTCGCCCAAAAGTACTCGAAAAACAAGAAAATGGCCCACGCCGCAGATGGCCACACACACACACACACACACACACACACACACACACACACACACACACACACACACACACGTACGGTGTTGTTTCGTTGTACATGTATTCCATTGCCATGATACTCCAGCTTCAAAGACTAGAGCAAGTGGGCCAATCAAAGCAAGAAGGATAGGTGCAAGCAGTCAAGCCTCACTCAAGTTTGTTCACCTACCTGCCTCACTGCCAGGCTGAGTGTGATGTTGAGTGGCAGGTTGTTTGAGTAGACCACTGCGGATGACCGGGAACTGACCATCCGACCGGGGACCAGATCAGCCTGGAACACTCTGCAACCGGCAATGATAGTTGAATGAGCATGGAAGTTTGAGATCAATGTTGAAACTACCACCAGAAATGTGCATTGGGAGGAGGGTGAGAAGGAGGAATAGGACAACGGGAAGAGGAGGAGGAGGAGGAGGAGTAAGAAGAGAAAGACAAGAATAAGGAGGAGGAGCTTGAGGAGGAGGAGGAGGAGGAGGGGATTAGGAGGTGGAGGAGGAGGTGGATTAGGAGGAGGAGGTGGAGGGGGATTAGGAGGAGGAGGAGGGGGATTAGGAGGAGGAGGGGGATTAGGAGGAGGAGAAATAGAAGGAAGAGGAGCACACTGCGAATGAAGAGAAGAGGAATTGAATGTTATCACAAATATTCTTCATGTACAACGTGTGTGCAAGGTGGCAGGATGGCGGGTGTAGCCATGGTTGTGAGTCTGAATTTCATACGCCAGCACTGTGCCCTGTGCTGCTTGTACATACATTTTGCTGAAATCCAACACGCCCAAGCTGGCCAAGTTCAACGCCTTCATGACCGTGATAGACAGGCTGTCCTTGCTGGAGTTGTAGCTGCACACGTTGTAACAACACACAGTCACACTTCGTGAATGACAGAGTTTTGAGTTTTGTTGTACCACTCCCCGTGCTTTGTCGGCCCAAGGATTTCCATCCCACACAACATGATTATGCAGAAAAGGGGCGACTGTACAACTTGTAGATACCGTCCAAGTGTGGTCCATGGACAAGTATCGACAGTAGCGAAGTGAGCCATCCACTGCTTGCTATATCACCCTACAGTCTCCCATTATAATGGAACTCCCTTTAATTTGGACTACTGTATAGCAGAAAATCTTCGGACGGAATATATTTTCGTACGATTTTGTACACGGCCTCTTTTGTACTAAAATTAATTCCGTACTAAAATTTGTTCATATGAAATTATGTACACTATACATGCGTACTGCTTGCGAACACGTACATTTAGCATGCAGCACTGTACGAAAATAAAATCCGTACGAAAGGTCGAATTTCGGCTTTGTCCGAAAACATTTCGATCCGAATTTCCTGCTATACAGTATGTCTTTGGGAAATCCTCAAATATATAATAATACTAATAGTCCAGGCCACCTTCTACAATGCAGCCTTCAGACAGAGTAATTCTTCATTCACGAAGGTTGGTCCCTGGCATGCCCTGGTTCTAGGTGCAGCATGTAGTCCAGTTGGAATCAGAGAAAGTCCAACTCCCGTGCTAGCGACGGCGTGAACAAACGTGCCAGTGGACCCATTGATATGATCAAGAGTACTAGTAAATAGGGGGGGGGGGGTATGTACTCTTGATATGATTGTGTATACATACGTGCAGCTTGATACAGCATGCAGGCATGCATGTAGGCAGCATGGTTTGCTGTGATTGTGATAGTCCGATGCAGTTTGATGCCCGTGACATGTGAGCCTGTAGGCTTGCTATGAAGAGGGTTGGATTTCATTGCCCTACCCATTCCCTGAGTTGTGCATTGTCACATGGTATAGCTGGATAACATCGTCAAAGTCGTCACAACCCTTTTTTGTACAACTATGCTTAAAAAGTGCACTATGTTCGCCTGATCCTGAAGGTTTGTTATTTCAGGACACAACATGTACTCTCACTGGTGCTATTTGCTACAATTAAATCATCGTTTGGACTTTGCTTGTGCTTGCAGGGCGGTGGCGTTCCTACAGATGCTGAAAACTCGGTCTAACTGAGTCTCAGGCAAACCGTAATTTCGGTTGTGTTTTCTTACAGCAGTTGCAGGTGGAGCCTTGCGCCCTCGGTCAGAGCATCCACGGCCGAGGAGAGGCTGGTCGAGCTGGTACTGCTGGTGCTGCTGAACACACTGTTGCTGGTGTCGGACTTGAGAGGTTCAGCCGGAGCAGGACTGGTTCTTGTTACTTCCACAGCCTTCAAACAGAGTAGACAAAGGAAAGCGAGATGATCAGATACGGTAAGTGCACAGCAGACACATACAGGGGTGTAGATGGAGATAAAGAAAAACGAAAATCCTGGAACAAGGTGAATTCCGACTGCAAGGCATGATAAGTATGCCACAGAACTCCTATGTTGCCCCGGACTTCAAAACAGTGGAGCCTAGATATATACTGTAGGCTGTGCCACCCATATAGGATGCTGCACTGAGGGAACCTGTATGATTCCCAGTGCAACATGCACATAGTGACATACGGGTGAGGGGAGGGGGATGTGTGTGTGTGTGTGTGTGGGGGGGGGGGGGGGTGAGGGGATGTGTGTGTGTGGGGGGGGGGGGGTGGAGGGATGTGTGTGTGGGGGGGGGGGGGGGGTGAGGGGATGTGTGTGGGGGGGGGGGGGGGGGGAGGGGGTAAGAGAGGTTCTACTGTACTCGCACCTCAGCTGCATGAGCATGAACACCTGTATGCCTTTGGTGGCAAGGCCTACTGATATTTCCAACTGACTGCACACTAGTCCACAGATCATATCTTACCTTGTTGCGGCTGTGATAGGCACCAATGACCGCTGCTGCGGCTTCTTTCGGTGCGAGATCAGCTTCATCCTGACCAGCTTCTGGCTCCGCCGAAGGAGTTGTCTCGACACCAGCCGTGGTCTGCTGCACCACCAGGCTGCTATCAGCTGTGACTTTGGGAGAGGCGGGTGTATCTTGCGTGCTTTCGACGGATTTCGTTTGAGCTGACGGCAGTGTGTCAATTCCATTTGTTGGATACGTGTCAGGTGTATCAGGGGAGTGACCGTTGGTCTTCGCTGCCGCGGGCAGTAGTGCCGGTACCTCTATGCCATGTTGTAGTAGTAACGCTCGTAGTTGAGTGTTCTCCGCGTCCAATCTGGGTTTTGGCAGAATGCAGGCAGCAGTACACGGCATTTGGCAAATGTTGGTTTTTATACATTATGTAATTACTCAGCGTTATTTGCAAAAATAATAATAATAGTACAAGGTGATGTCATGATGTAACGCCGAGACCATGGGCCGGTGTTGTGGGCTTGCCTCACCAGCACAGGCTTGCTTCGCAGCCCCTACTCTCCCTGCTGTTTTGTTATTGTATATTCTGTTGTCTTCTCCCCTTCTGACGAGTATGTTCTGTACTTAGTAAAACAATGTCATGATGATGTCATGGCATGCCCGGTATCAGGGTTTACACATGCATGCCGGCGAGAAACTACCCCCAAGAGTGTGCAACTCCAGTCTTTGGGGTACAGTCAACTTCGCTAATAACGACTGCGGATATAACGACAATTCGCGAATAACGACAGAATTTCCATGCCCAGAGCAAAGTCCCATCCACCTGTAATACATATAATGAGACTTCGGGTATAACGACACTTCGCGAATAAGGACACTTTTCTGATGCCCCGCCGAGTGTCGTTATAAGCGAAGTTGACTGTATGCGATGGCAAACTGTGACTTCACATCAGGTGACACACCCATACGCACTGCAAGCATGTGCACTATGTGCATGATGATGTCATCTGCAGGGCGGTACGCAACCCTGCTCGTGGTACAAGTTCAACACCCTGGTTTCCAGGTTCTACTGCTTTCTCCGCGACCCATGTGACGTAATGTAAAACTCTACCATTGCAGCATAGGATAGAGAATGTACAGCCTGCAGTATAACACTCTTGGGAGTTATGTACTCTTGACGTAGGATGCAAACTAGTCCTGGTCAATGAAATCCAGTAAGTTTGCACTCTTGACCGCTACACTAGTGTACAGGTCTGTGGCAGTGTCCACATGTCTGGCTCTGTACTGGTACAGGACACTACACTAACTCACTGACAGTGACACCTACGAGATGACGGGATGACTTCAAAATTGAAAAATATAATGACTTCACTATTGCTGTCATGGGAACAACGTACCTCCTGTTCGCCTCACTCAGGTCCTTGATCTTCTTCGCTTGTTGCTCGACATCGTGTAGCAGGCGCCGACTGTCGTCCTCGCCTGATGAGTTAGCCCTGGTAACACATGAATAGATGGGAAACAGATCATGTACATGTACCACCGTCCAGTAATGTGTATTATGGTATGGTTAAGTACTGTGCTGGCAAATGAAATCCGACACCTGAGCGGTGCGTTCACATTCTAGCGGTCTCTATTTCGTAGTTGTACAATCCCGTGTTGGGTCTTTGCGATGTGAACGCACCGCTCAGGGGTCGGATTTCAGTTGCCAGCACAGTAGTTGTAGGTGACATCCGCATTTGGTAACCATGGCGCCTGATCCACACATATGGCGAAACCTGAATAAGGGATCGTACTGATGTAGTTCCCATGTACCTACTGAGGTCCGACCGATTGGGGTGTACATTACAAATGGACATTATTGACACCCCCTCCCATTTTTTCACAAATTGGGTGGGGCAACCTTTTCCGAAATATGGTCCGGCCTTGTCAAGGGTCATTTGACTGGAAATTACAACCATTAGTCCAAGTTGTAGTAGTCTTCTGGGAGAGGTAAATTCGTCATCAGTTGAGATGCCTTGGCACAGCCACGATGTAGTGATGCACTAACTCAAGCATATTCGCCAGCTCACACTGCATATTTAGCATAACTTGGCATAATGGAAAGCGCTGACTCTACAAGTAGCTGTATTCTTAGCCCCTATAAGCAAATCCGCTAGTTCACCACTATGACATCACACGCATAAGCTCTAGCCTTGAAAGGTTCCACTGTAGTTACGAGTGGATGCTGCCGAATGTTGCTGGGAATGTAGCATGTTCTGCTCAAACCCTTTTCTGTGTGGGCATAAGCTGTTCAATGCATGTGGGTCAAGGACTGGCGAGTAGGCTAACGTTATGGCTTCAATTTCATGCACAAATACATGTGCAGTGACGAGGTGGAAGCTGCATGGTTCAAGGCCCCGGCTTTGCAAATTGAAGCAGGCTCAGTTACCAAACGCAACCGTGCCGAACGAAACACTGAGAGCAAATCCAGTACCTAGTGGTGTGGTTGGTCCTGTCAAGCAGGGCCCAGAAAGGGGAAGACCTGCTCATCTGAATAGGCGTGACTACAATAGCTTTTTTAAAGCAGCCAACTCTAGGCAGGTGCCTGAATTTCAAGACGATCCAAACCGCTAGCAATTAAGTCGGATGCAAACACTGAAGCCCATCTTAATGATGACATTGGCCCGATATCCATCCAGGTCTGAAAATGAGATCGGAATGAATTTGCAAAACAGTATGCTATGTCCACTGGTGACGGTTATTTGAGAGAGTTGTGCCAGTCGGAGTCGTACGCAGGATCCGGAATGAGGGGGGTGCTCCAACTTTTTTCCCCAAAGAACCGAATAATGCATTATTCCTGTGCATGTGATGCATGGATGGTTGATATCTTGATTTTTAGTGCGCTATTTAAAATTCAAGTACTTACCATGATTTACCAAGTGGAGGGAAAAATTAATGTAGGACCAGTTCCGCAGGAGCAACCATGAGGCCTTGAAGGCCTGGCAGGAGTAAATAAGCTCCCAGGAGCTTACTCATGCTTCTTGCATGGAGAAATCATGAGAATCAGGTAATAGAGGAAGCAAGTGCAAAGGATGGTGGTAGCTTCACAAACAGGATAGTAGCAGAGGGCTGCTACTTTTCTGTTGGTAAACATCAGAAGCAGTGTCTGAGGTGTTGGCAGCGAGGCAGGGGGCAGTGACCCCTTCAGAAGCCGTAGCATTTTTAGGATTTCCAGGGCCCGAAACAACAGATTAGTACACTTTCGTGAACAATCGTTTTCAGTCGGTTTGTCGGAACAGCTGACCGGAATGTTCCCGGCAAATCGAAATAGAACAAGGCGAGGCCCTAACAATATGGATAACCCTCTGTCCTGGCACATGAAAGTACATGTAACATGGTGACTATGATCAACTACAGTGACAACGAGTGGAAAGCAAAAAATCCGTTAGAAAATCTGATAATTATGCCACCAAAAATCGTGTTCAGAAGTCTGGTTTATGAACATCCCCATTTCTTCTTTCAGAGTTTGGGCACAATGCAGTTTTCTAAAATATCAAATTCAATCACATCTCAATAAATAGCCTCACGCAAGACCTTTCCAATGGGCCGTCATTTGCGTAAATCGGACAATTGGTCCCAAAGTTATGCCTTGGTACTTTTAGTGGCATGGGTACAGCAAGTTGGCCTATGTCGAAAATTTTGAGGGCCCTGGGGGGGGTGCTTGAGCACCCAAAGCACCCCCCCCCCCCCTGGGTACGCCACTGGGCAGCATGTGTGAAGTGCACTGTACAGCAAGGGTAGGTTTTTTAGGGGCACATGTAAACCATGTAAACCCCAGCCCCAGGTCCTTGGCCTCTTGATCTCGTTTCCCTTAGCCCTTACATAATCTGTAATCATTACAATCATGTGTTTGCCCACTGGTAAAAACAGCTCGCGCCCGGACACCAACATTGCAGCCCTGTGAAGATACCTTTAATCGATCTCATTGCCTGATCCCAGCCTGACTGGCTGCAGCAATAATTTTTGTGCCCGCTGTCAGCGATCGGGCCATGTACAGAAACAAGCATAATGGTTGCTTCCCTCCACAGCTAGCTAACCGCGAATTGCCAACACCCGCGGTATGTTCCTCAAAACACAAGAATACCCTTTACGCAAACGATCAGCACGCGCGCTTTGGCTCCGTTATGCACCACGGCTTCTCAGCCACTTCTCAGCCACTGAAGAAAGGTTATGTCAAGACACCACTCAATAGCAGACCAGGCTTACAGCCATTATCCTATGCGCAAAGCTAACCCGACGTTGCTCTACATCAGCCGAGGGCTGCACGCATACTTACTGTTTGCTCTGTTGGTGCTGCTGTTCGCTACGATCATGAGCCAACGCCATATTGCCGGTCTTCGAATGGTCTTCGTCAGATTGATTAGCAGACGGGATTCCGAAAATACAAGAAGGAGGAGCGACCCAACGTCGCGCACGCCGCGATGTCGCTGCAGAAAATGACACACCTCCGCGTCGTTTGACTGGCTTCGAGCGAAGACTTACTACTCGGCCGACGAAAATAACTCAGGCGGTTGTGCGAGAGGCTTTTCTAAACCAACTCGGGGAGCGAATCGACGTCGTGGGCTGCAAGTTCATCGACTTCTTGCGTCCCTGCGTGGTGAGGTACTCACAGCGGAGCCCGAAAACATGTTGAACTGGTAGAAGCTCGACAGGTGCTATCAAAAATTTTCTAAACGGTCTTCATCTACAATGATCTACCGGCATGATCATTCCAATTTCTACTCTCTACTCTACTGTCTAGTCTAGACGACATGGTTCAAGTGCCACAAGGCACAATCACTGACTCGCTAATTTCTGGCACTCACTGACTCAGCTGTGCGCTAGGTTTGAAATGTCAACCGACTGTCGATGTCTGATGCAGCTCGACGATGTATGACTAGCCCGGGGGTGTTGGGGCTGATCTATCCCGTTATGGGCAGGCATGTGCGCGGATCAAAAATTCGCATGTCCACGGCAAAGTGTCAGTTTATCTACGACTAATACGAGTGTGAACCAGGGAGTCGTAAAATACCGTATTTTACGACTCCCTGGTATGGTGTGAACTGACGCCTACCATGGTCTACATCTGAGCTGCGCAGCTGCGTCTTGAAGTCTTGAAGTCTACGTCATGATGAAGTCCTCGCCACTCCAACTCACGTAAAATCTCTCAGTCTCATTTGGTGGTCGCAAGTAACAGGTAACTACAATAGTTTCAAGCGTGCATTATCACCTTCAGCCTATTCTTGTTCAGGCATATCGCGGTAGTGGCTGCGTGTCGACGTGTGTGGCGCGTGCGTGTCCAAACCTGTTTCTCGCTTCGCTGTTTTACTTGTTTGGTGCAATGGTGGCACATGCTAGTGACATAGACATGGTGATAACGCTCCCTGGAGTAAATTAATTTTACTCTTGCCTTCTTGGCGTCTTGCATGCAGTCTTGGTGGTCATGATCATGTAATGGTGATAGTACTGATACGCACCCAGACCATGGTCATACATGATGTTGTGGACTACCTGGGCAGCTGGGCATATTGTGCTCTAGTGGGCGATGGATAGTGGATCATACTGACCGTGCTTCTAATCTAAATAGCTAATCCACCGTTTGAAAATATTATCGTCAGACATGTAAAAATGACAATGGGCATTTAGTTCAGTAAACATGCGTTTCTGAACATTCAAGTGATGCTAACGCGGATCCCGCGAATATTATTATAATATTATTATAAACATGGTAAAGTAGTAACTGTTGTTTACCACCGGTGCACCGGCGACAGAGCCATTATTGACTAGTGCCGTAGTGGCTAGCTGCTTACTAAGTACAATCATGTATCTGGATGCCTAGCTACTATGTATACCTATACTATAGGCTATATACGCGTATGTACTGCATGCACGCGGTGGAAAGCTTTGCTATGGAAACGTTTTATGAGCACGCGTGATAAAACTGTCAACAATGATCAAAACCAGGGAGTGCCCCGGATCCATGAAGCCTTGAAGGCATGATCAGATGATCCAGTCCACAACTGGCACAAGTCATGTACTCTGCTGGTAGATCTACGGTCTGCAGACTGCATGCAGTGGTACACATACTGTGACATACATGTAGTCATAGTCATAGATCTCGGCTCTACATGGTGGAGCGTTGTCTGCATCATGTGCATGTATGCCGTCACATCAGGAAAAAAAAGAGCGGCAAATGTCGACAAAATGAAAACTACCAGTAAATTTCCTTGATCACGACGGTTCCTCACCCGAGCAGCGAAGTGACTGCTACTTGTCGTCTCCCAATTGTTTGTTAGCGATTTCGTCAGCAGCAATTTTCTCATGTGCACGCTTAGCGGTTTGCGTCTGTGTGACCACCCCGCTAATGTTATCAAATTAGCCCGCTAAAATAACCAGCACCCAATCGTGCTGTTGCTATTGTGGTCGTGTAACTAGCGGGGAAAGATGGACAAGTACTCGCAGTTGAAGAAGATCGGCGAGGGTGCCTTCGGCAAGGCCTACCTCATGAAGCGTAAGGATGACGAGAAGAAGCTGGTCGTCATCAAGCAAGTCAACATCTCGAAGGTAAGATACATTTTTCAAAAGAGACCGCTCACACGACACCGCTTATATCGTACAGCATCTGATACAGACATACGTAGTTTTCCTGTATCTAGGACAGTGCCACTGAATCGCTCGACCACCAGGAAACGAGCGCAAAGAGCTTTGGGTACACCGAGCTTTGTATGACCACGAGGTCAGATGGTAGGGTCAACGTGTAGACTGGCCTTGGTATGAAAGGGAGGAAGGGAAGAGCAGGTGATTGCACAGGGCAGAAACAGCACCTTGACTACACAATTATAAGGAGAGCTCCGATATATATACAATTCAGCCAGTTCATCTTTGAGGAGCATTGGGACAACATCATAGATAATAGTCGCAGCTTGCTACTACAGCAGTGTTGGTTACCGGAGAACTGATGGTGGGGGTCGGCCTCCTCGCCTAGACCGTTCTTATTTTCATGTATTACTGTCTATGCACGGTTGAGTCACCGTGTATACATTGGTATGCTGTGCTTGATGAAATTCTAGCCTGGCCGTTCTTCGGCGCCCAACAGTACTATAGGCACATGCGGTACAGGCATATGCATCCGCTGTATACTTAGTGCCCGCTTCCAGTCTGCAGAACATGAAACACTCTGGGTTAAAGTCCGCCTCCATGGCGGAGGAAGCTTGGTGATCGGCTCTGTGTGCCGCCCAGGCTCCTGTCGCCCCACCGACCTCTGTCTCATCAGTTCACTTGACGAAACACTACATCAGGCCAGAGAACTGTCCCCAAAACGTACACGGGATCCCGCTTACCCCCTCTTCCCCCCCCCCCCCCCATGAAATCATTCGCATAACCTTTAGGCTTTAGTACGGCATCCCACTGCAATACCCATGAGATCCCAGTGTTCAGTCAGTGTTGTATTCGGGAAAAGCACTGGGTTGAATAAGGTACGTCACAGCCAGTCTGGTCAGTCAGATTCGCGCTACGCCACTAGACTTTAGTCGTCCAACCATGTTTGTTGCTGTTCTTGTGCATTGTGTGTGTGTGTGTGTGTGTGTGTGTGTGTGTGTGTGTGTGTGTGTGTGTGTGTGTGTGTTTGCGTGCTTCTCTTGCGACGGGCGTATACATGATACATGGTGTGTTTGTGCATGTATGTGTGGGTGTGTGGTGTGTGTGTGTGTGTTTGCGTGCTTCTCTTGCAACGGGTGTATACATGATACATGGTGTGTGTGTGTGTGTACATGTGTGTGTGTGTGTGTGTGTGTGTGTGTGCATGGACGCATGTGCACATGTGTATGCATGTGCCCCACAGATGTCGGCTCGGGAACGCGCCGACTCTCGTAAAGAGGTATGCACCACATGTGTTTCCTAACATGCATGTGCTGCAGCCAGTGCCCTGGGCTGTTGGTTTGCCTTTATCCGCCGGGTATTTCCCTATTACAGAACTGCTTCTCATATCGCCATTACTATCACGAGGGTAACCTGGACACAGCGAACAGCATTTTCCATCTTTGATGACTGTGTGTATGATGGGATTGAGCTACTGATGCGTGAAACGCACAGCCTCTTCCATAGCCGCTGCATCTCATCTGCACCTTGCTCCTTGACTGATGCTTCTACTAGCCAGGACGTACTAGTATTCAGTAATCTGATATAATGCGTAACGGTGTGCTGCATGTATGTATGTACCATAGTGTTCTAATCTACATGGTTTACTGTGAGATGTCCGCATGAAACTGGCAGTTGCAGGCGTTGTCTCAAGTTGTTCACTTTCTCCGTGTGATGTTCTCATTGGACGTTCTTGGCTGTGTGACTGTTTGACTGGTGTGCCTATGGCAGGTGAAAGTCCTGTCGCAGATGCACCATCCGAACATCGTCAGGTATCGCGAGTCCTTCGAAGGTACACTGCCCACTCCATTTCCCCATGCAAACTGATTGTCTCATGAGTGGCACTGGTATTCCGAGGCCTCGATGTTGTCTTTCCCCCTACCCCCACCTCCCCTTCCCCCCTGTAACATACAGCCAGACGTATGTGCAGTGATCATTGCAACAAGAGGCCACCTGTCGTGAAAGACCACCTGTCTTGGGAGACCAGTCATCCCAGGCACCCAGGCTCCGCTCCAATACACACCCGGACCCGTGTAGGCCGGCCCTACTGCCGTGTTTTGGCGCTGAGTCAACCCCGTGCCCCGTTGTCTAATGTTCCACTGTAATCACAACACGTAGTTCTGAGGCTTGGTGTGCTTTGTAGCTAGAGATGAAGCTAGTAACCTTCTTTCTGGTGTTCTCTGCCGTTGGTACAGATGGCGGTAACCTGTACATTGTCATGGACTACGCCGACGGAGGTATGATCGCATGGCTTGCTTGTGCATGATTCTATCCTCAGAATTGCAGGTGTTGTATTGGGTGTGAAACTGATGCTTGCAATGACTGATGTAATGGGGCTGCCAATAGCCCATATGCACATTGTAGTATGATTGTACAGATGTACGACTTACCGTAAGTATGTACACGCCCGGTTGGATGTTCATTGTGTGCTATGCATGTGCATTTGACCGGTTTAGCCCATTACTCAATGGCAGACAGTCGCTTTCTAAGCCTAATTCGTCACGAATTACCAACAAAGATCTTTGTCCGAAAAGGGTTGTTGCATAAAATGCCCGTTCGAAAAGGGTTGTTGCATAAAATGCCCGTTCGAAAAGGGTTCTTGCATAAAATACCCGTTCGAAAAGGATTGTTGCATAAAATGCCTCCAGGGCACCTTTTGTAGCGAAAATACAGATAACACAATAGGGTTCTGTACAGTCAGCATCTAGCCGGGTCTACGGGATTCTACGGGATTCTACGGAATTTCGTACTTGACAATGTGCGGGAGGCTTGTCTATACGAGACATCTCAAATGATGATATCGTATTAGACTGTGGAGTGATATCGGAATTGCGTGTGACTCTTTGCATTGTCGTGCAGGCGACCTGCATGGACGACTGAACAAACAGCGCGGTACTCTACTGGATGAGGACACGGTAAGCAACACACTCTCTTGATGACCACGATAACCAGCATAACGTGATGTAGCCAGTGCATTGATCTTGGTCATGATCTATGCGTATTCAGCTATCGCTGTGTGCAAGTGCCTTTGTAATGCTGTCGGGACAATTGTGTTTGCCTTCGCTTCACTCCTGATGAGCACGATAATGTCATACAGCTAGGGCATCGATCCTGGTCATCAGGAAGTGCTAAAAACCGTTCTTTTTTAGTATTACATGCTGGTCATGATCTAATAGTTATGTGTACGCAGCTGTCGCCATGTCCGGATGCTTTTTTAATGCCGTCGGAACGATTGTGTTTGCCTTGCCTGTAGGTGTTAAACTGGTTTGTACAGATCTCGCTGGCCATCAAGCACGTTCACGACCGCAAGATCCTGCACCGTGACATCAAGACACAGGTAAGCTGGCCTGGTTGACGGCCTACGTTGTTGAAATGTGCTGTCGGTGTCCGCTCTGTAAACATCTTCACTGGCATTGCCACCATTGTATTTGCGCTTCTGTTTGCGCGGTCATTGATATACGGGATTGTTCTCAGGCACCCGGAGCGCTGTAGTCTACCGCATGTGTGCACAAGTTGCATGCAAAATTGCGGTGCTGTGCCCGCTCACTTGGCGGCCCAACTCGGCCCTTCATTGGCCACAGCTGTGTATATCAAATGGGTATACGAACGACTAGGTAAATTGGCGATGCAGCAAAGGCAGATTTTGAACATTGCTAGGCAAATAGCCACATTTCTGGACTGTTCGTGTTTGCTGTCTTCCTGCTTGCTGGCTGTAGAACATCTTCCTGATGCGCTCCGGCATTATCAAGTTGGGCGATTTCGGCATTGCACGTGTTCTCAACAGGTTAGTACATATACCTACCTCCTCTCGTGTGTGTGAGTAATAATATTACAACCAAAGACTTTGACATCGTTGAGGTGAAGCCGGAGCTGTGTGATTGTGTCATCATAGTAAACATTTGTGTAAGTGCCATATTTGGGTTTACGTGCAAAATTGGTAGCGGTAAGCTGCGGTATACAATATTCTTCTTGGAAACGGAACGACTGAAATGCTACATGAATTCGCTACAAAACTCCTTCGTCCATTCTAGTCGAGTATTTGCCTATTGCATTACAGCCGAAGCACTTCTGTACGTGCACGCATCATTGTGTATGTCCACGCATGTGTGTGTGCGTTTGCGTGTGTGTTTGTGTGCATATGTGTGTATCCGTACGTGTACACACTGTGTGCGTACATGTGTTTGTTTGTGTTTGCTCAGCACCGCCGAGCTGGCGAGGACATGCATCGGCACACCTTACTATCTGTCACCGGAAATTTGTGAAAACAAGCCATACAGCTTCAAGAGGTATGCCAACATGCTGTACATGTACACTAAGACATGTAGTGCAGTACTAACATCACACTGCTATTGTTGAATAGAATGCTTGTGTCAAGCCTGCTGGGGATCAGGATGGTCATCCATACCTAAAAGTTAAAAGCTAAGCTTGAACCATCAATTCTACTTAAGCAGTTAACTATCTGATAATGACGCATTGTGATGGGTAAATGGTCCCTATGCACTGCTCTGTCCCTTCAGTGGACACGCAGAGCACGTAGAGCACGTGTACATGCAAAGGCGTACACTACTTGTTAACCTACTCTTGGCCTTGTTCTCGTCCCTCTGCTTTCTGCCCGCAGCGACGTATGGTCTCTGGGGTGTGTACTCTACGAGCTTGCAACGCTCAAGCATGCGGTGAGTCAGCGTTCTATATGTACTTGACCGTGATGACTGTGCTGTATGATGCCGGAAACCACTGGTCGACGGAGCTAGATGCCCCCCCCCCCCAACCATCACCACCACCACCACTCACCATTATGACAATAAATCCGGGACGGAAAAGCTGGAAACTATAAAGAATGTCACGCGAGGTCAAAATAGTATCTTGACCTGCCTACCCCCCCCCCCCCCCCCCAGCCACATCATAGCCATGGAATCACTCCAGAATAGCTCGTGGCCGGTGTTGATGCCCGAATTTGACCTCGCGTGACTAAATCTGAATCAGCATGGCAGCATCACACACGGGGTGCAGCCATGCTGTTGTGTAAGTCACCTTTTAGGACAGGTGATCTCTAAATACAGGTGGTCTCTAAATACAGGTGATCTCTAAATACAGGTGGTCTCTAAATACAGGTGGTCTCTAAATACAGGTGACCTCTAATGACAGGTTGGAATGTGCACTGTTTTTGTATCTAAATGTGCCCCGGATAGAGTTATGACCTTGTTGTGTGAGGTGTGAATGATGTATGTGTGCCTGAGCAGGCCGTTCAGGCTATATCCATGCTGCGGTAGGGCTCAATTGGTACAGACTACAGAGCCGCAACGTAAGAGAAGCTTTTGCTCTAGGACAAGTTATATTGATATTATATTGTCGAAGATTCTCCAGCGGCAAATGGATGCCTATCAAAGGGAGTCTCCTGGAGAAAGGAAGTGAAGGTGGCTGTTATGAGAGTTGCAGGGGTTCTTATTTTGCGTGATTACCTAAGCATCTCTCTTGTGATGTGCATTTTTCTCCAGTTTGAAGGCCGTGACATGAGGAACCTGGTGCTCAAGATCGTCAGGTAAGACAAACCAGGACAAAGATATATCCTTCTGTCCCTTTAAGATAGGTGTTGGTGTGATGGCCGACACTAGGCTATGCTAGGGAAGGTACCGTACTAAGAAATGATTGGGCACTGGAAAGTTGTTGCTGTTGTTGTTTCTTTATTTGAATTCGCTAAAACCAAATGGCCAAGGGAGCGAATGATGAGCGTCATAATCACTATGCATCAAAACATCTTGGGGGGGGGGGGGGATGAGACAGACTAGAAGGAGGGTTTGCACAACGCTAGTACATAGAGGGGAGTTTGAGAACAAAGGCGCGAAAGAATACAGGGTAGGATAGTAATCTGACCGATCATCACCCAGGCGTGGAATGTGAATTCATGTTTCTACCTTGGTATTACTTCAAATGGATGCTTGGTTTCCAAACCAACCAGCGGAAGCCCACCCGATTGCTAGATTATCGACTGGGTTGCTACTGGCTATTTCTCTGACAGTACAATGGGTGATAGAATACTCGTGCCGCTACCTCGACTGTATGTATCTAATATTGACTGAGTACGAGGTCAATATAGGAAATAAAAGCCGAGTAAAAGACCGAGGCGAAGCAGAGGTCTTTTACGAGGTCTTTATTTCCTATACTGACCAAGTACGAAGTCAATATTAGATTTATCACAACAAACAGTCCGTATTTCAAATTCCAGAACGATAACCTCATGAATCTCAATTTTATGATTGCACAACCGTTGCACCACCACCTACTCATGCAGTGACAATGCTGCACTAGGCACCGTTCAACTGCGCAACCTCTAAGCAGTCAAATATAAGCAGTCGATATAGCCCTAAGGAGTGAAATATGCAGGAATATTTGGCTGCTTAGGTATAGCGAAAATCAATGGGAGTCAATACTAAGGGAGTGATTACTTGTAGTACAGTCAAATCTGTTGTAAGCGACCGCCCCTTGGTGCAAGAAAAAGCGGTCGCTTACGGCAGATGGTCTCTTACGGCAGATGTATGGTAAATCCGGCATACCAGGTATATGCTTCCATGTACTCAAATCGACGAGAATAATGTGATTTTTAATATCATTTTTTGGATATTCAACGACGACCATACCCGTATAGTACGCGTATGCGACACGGCAGTAGATCGACACTGCCTGGACTTGAGAGCTACATCACAGCCTCAGTACAGGCCAGGCGCCAGTCGATCGCACTTGCAAGACAACGCATTTTCACACTTTGCAGTTGACAACGCACTGGCAAGTACAGTTTCGCACCTTACTGAACCTGGGTCGCGGTCGCTTACAGCAGATTTGAATGCAGCCACCGTGCATGAAATCGCGGTCGCTGGTCGCGCACAGCAGATGGTCGCTCTGGACAGATCAGTTTGTATGTGAAACCGTCGGTGCACGGAAAATCGGTCGCTAACGGTAGATGGTCGCCTACAGCAGAGGTCGCTAAAGGCAGATTTGACTGTATTGTGAAATTCTGGTGAAGTATTACCAAATGCTCTTTCAGGGCATCAACATGACATGACAATCATAGTGCTATGTCAGTATGTGTGTACGCAGGCATGTGTATGCATGTACATCTGTGTGGTTGTGTATAATATATTATATATGTGTGTGTGTGTGTGTGTGTGTGTGTGTGTGTGTGTGTGTGTGTGTGTGTGTGTGTGTGTATTTCATGTGCCACTGCATTGCAGAGGCGTATACCCACCACTGCCGAGCAAGTACAGCCGTGACTTGAGACAGCTCCTTGCACAGATGCTGGCGCGGTCTTCACGGTACGGAACAACCATGTTTGGAACAGCATGTGATAGAAAGCTTGGAGTTCTGTGACAATCATACTGTGCTGTTGGTATGATCTGAAAGCAAGTGGCGCTGTGGCTGTGGCCGTTGATGCACCTTCACAATACAGTCTCATGCATGTACAGTAAAACCTGTAACTAAAGACCACCGTGACTAGCGACCAACCTGGTACAACAGACCACTTCGCCGGGCACGGACGGTCTCACATTCATGTATGGTTGTGCGGTGCAAACCTCTAAGTACCACCTGCCACTAAAGACCGCTTTCTCTGGCCCCAAGGGGTGATCGTTAGTTAGTTTAACTGTATTGCTGGGTGTCATATTGGTATGTATATGTAAGTTATGTGCACTGTGGACAAAATCCGTTTGGCTGGTGGGTGTATTCTATACGCATTGCACTGATCCACATGGCACGGCTGTTCGCGCACGGACATCTAACAATATGGAGTCGTTCGGTGCGATTTACGTAACGCGGTACAAACCTCATAAATACGATGGGAGTTTGCGTTTTGGGATGAAACCCATGTCACTCTCCGTGTGGTTCCACGATTTCGCAAGTCAAACCAGGATTTAATATTTGAAAGCGCTCGAGCGAGATACTCAATATCCAGACAATTTGAGAGAGAAGGAAGGTAAAAGGAACTCCTGCCGTGGTCAACCAGCATCCTGACCTTTTCGAACCTCTCCAAGCTGTCCCTGGTAGTCTGGATATTGACGCACGCACTGATTTTCAGCTTCTCCTCGCCGGCATCACGGGTGCAACTTTCAAATTTGCCGATATGCACTCGAACAAACGCACAATTGGATCTACATCACAATTTCGGGGCTATCTGTGTGCTTGCTGCCTTTTTCAGCAATACCCCACATGTCTACTGGGCAGTTTCCACCAGGCCTCGGCCTCCTGGACTCAACAGCGACTCCAGCGCCATGCCATCTGTCCCCTAAATCGCATGAAAAGGTAGCTCAGCATCGAACGCACGGGACCTGAAGTTTGTGCACGGCCCGTGATAAAACTTGGTGAAGATAGCCAGAATATAGTCCTCTACCTGGGAAAACTGAAAGCTAGACTGGGAAAATTCCTGAAAGGGCTTCTTGACGCAGGCATGTCAACGATGAATCAAGGAACGAGCGAGAAAGAAGGCTTGACTTGTGCAACGCGGAACAAACTGTTCCTGAGACGAAGTTGGCCATGTGAGGTACCAGCGGAAAGCTAGTTTCAAGAGGAACACGGAATACCTGTTTTCCGGGTAAACCTGGCCTGGTAGCTTTCTAAATCCAGCGAAAACCACAGCGAAATCGGCTGCTGAGAATTTGAAAATTCAAATTTCCTTGCCGATCCAGCCCAATCGAGACTTTTGGCTGCCATCTTGTTAAATGTCGCAATTTCGCGAAAAAAAAACAGCCGTGATATGGGTCCGCAGAATACTGTGTAGCAGGAAATATTCGGACGGAATATATTTTCGTACGATATCGTACACGGCCTCTTTTGTGCTAAAATTAATTCCGTACTAAAATTTGTTCCTGTGAAGTTATGTACACTATACGTGCGTACCGCATGCAAACACGTGCATTTAGCACGCACCACTGTACGAAAATAAAATCCGTACGAAAGGTCGAAATTCGGCGTTGTCCGAAAATATTTCCGTCCAAATATGAGCCGCGCCAAGCTAAAAAGTGGCTTAGCGTTTTGCCAACAAATCGAGAAAATCACCAAAACGTCACAGTCGGCAAAATTCTACTCGAGCGCAGTCGCGAAAATATTCACTTTCGAGCATCCTTTCAAATTCAAGTAAATAGTTTGCAAGTGGAGAAGAAGGAAGAGGCCTTTTATTTTTGAGCAACACTTCTTCAGTGTTCCCTCTTTCATCGTTGAGTGGATTTCTCGGCGCTGCCAGAGATCGTAATGGAGCGTTCTGGAGAATGCGGAGGCCAGCTGGATGACACTCTGTCTCCGTGTGCGCCCAACCCTAGTTGACGAGGAAAACTCGCTCATTCATAGTGGCTATGGTTCTTATCGTGGCCATGACTAGTCTAGAGCGTCTGGTATACCTATGTGGAGACGTCTACAAGCCATCCGGCCATCACTCTGACAAGCTCCCTAGTGAGTTGGATCTTGCTGCGATGTTTCACTTTGTTTCGGGGACCTTCAAATGTTCATGACGTGGTGTACTGTACTCCAAAAATTCCTCATTTCAAGGACAATAGTGCGACACGACGAAACGATGCATTGACTCTACCTGCTAGCATATCGTCCTTTGGTGCTTATACCACTACCTACACCAGGGAAGGAGAATGACATGGCCTACAGTCCATTCAGAAATAAATGAACTTCTAGCTTTTGGCCATAAATGGGTCAAACGTTGAGTTTTTTTAGAATTTTTTTCTGCAATCCCATATGGAATCCTCTTCCAATTGTATTTCTGAAGTTTTTTTGTCCAAAAAGCAAGCCATAGCAAGAATAGGATTTCGGTCAGGTTTTGCCCCAAAAGCACTGAATTGGGAAAAACCATCAAAATCCAGGCCGTTTGACCCCGCCTGCAACAGTGCATTCTGCGGTTCGAACCCCAGTTCAGGCACCCTTTTTGGACCCTTTTTCAAATTTCAAAGTTCGCAGCACTGCACTGTGTACGATGAAATCACGAAAAATCGCCAAATACGGGAGCTCGCCAGAGCCAGGACCCATCTTTTTATGAATGGACTGTAGGACGGACAAAGAATCAGTGCCGCCTTTTAGCGATGTGCAGTCAGTTGGACCTATGTGCAAGGGACCAATGGAGCTCGATCTCTGGCACAACACTACGAGCTACAGGGAAGGATAAATTCATGTTGGCGTAGGTGATTGGAGAGAGGATGACGGACTGCCTTGGTAAGATGCGACGTTTCCCAGCCGAGCGAAAAATATAGTCACAGACTCACAAAATCATTGAAGGATATGAAAATTCGTGTTGCGTGATGAAATGACATGAGATGAATAGATCAATTATTTCTTCTTTCTTGGATCTTCTAATCAGAACACAAGTGCTCGTTCCTCTTGTATTGCTTCCACACCTGCTAAGCTCTGTCTCTACTTGGTGTCCCATGTTTTCTGGAGTAGGTCTTCATAATTATTATCTTAGTTTCATTGATACCAGGCATTCTGTGACATGTGCAGGCCATGTATGCTTATTTATGGCACATATACATTTCAGATGGGCACCAAAATTTCCTTGATGGAAGTTGGATAGGTAGACATCGCTTTGGCATGAAAAAAGAAATTTCCAAAAATTATGCCTAAGCCACCTTTTTGCTTGGCTCGGCTCATATATTCCCGCTATACAGTAAACAATTCATCCGTCTCCACATCACAATTTCTCTCGCGCACTCTTGACTCGATTACCTGTCCCCTCCCGGTCGACTTCTTGTTTACCCCTGTGTCTACTTCTGCAGGGAAAGGCCATCAGTCAACAAAATTCTCCGGACGCCCTTTATTCAGAGGCGAATTGAAAGCTTCCTATCAGCCAGTGTGAGTAATTATAGTAACACAGCGGTGCCAACAAAAGTGTCTGCTCCGAACGTCGGAGCTCGCGCTTCCTGCCGACTGACTTGACACTAGACCGACTCACGACTGTGTCTGGTGCACACGAGAAGCCCGCCAGTCAAGTGTCGAGTCAGTCGGCAGGAAGCGCGAGCTCCGACGTTCGAAGCAGACACTTTCTTCACTAATCACCGCCGATGTCGCAACATCTTTCATACAGCGGTACCAACAAGAGTATTTGAAGCCCAGAATGAGCAGTTCGAATGGGCTGATGTCACAGCGAAATTCCTGGACGTAGAAGCGAGGTTGAAGTAGGTACAACTGCAGCTAAGTTGTATGCACTACGTCACCTTTTGCTGCTTGTCTACACCAACTGTGGTAATGGTGATGCTGTCCAGGAATTTCCCTGTGGCGCATGGCGGGCACTCATGCCACACCATGTCGCTTTGGCAATAACGCTGTGTATTCGAGATGCCAGTAAAGATATTCCTTCTTGTGGAGGACTCTGCCATGCTATGCTGATCACTGCTGACTGCTTTCCTCGCATGGTAGTGACATATATACCTGTATGACGTAATGGTCTGAAGTATGACATCATAGTAAAAGTCCATAACCTACAGGTGGAGGTTGCCAAGGTAACCACAGTGAGAAATAACTAAGAGTTGAATCCACCAGGTGCTCTTTAATGTCGCCATATTCTCAGCGTAGCTGGAGCACCATACTAGACAGTGTATGCAGCCGTTGATGATGATGACGATGAGGGTTGTGTCATTTCGCAAGTCCAAACGGGAGTTTCTTCCCGATAGCAAGGTACCGAAGGGATACGGTACCAGAGAGGGAAGAGGTGTATGTGCAATGTGTGTGTATTCATGCACATGTTGTTCATGGTGTGTGGTGTTCAGGTGATGGCCGATGAATTCAGTCACACCATTCTGCATCGCAACGCGAGGCCGTCGGCCGCCGGTGCAGCAGCACCTGCCGTCCGACCAGCTGCCCAGGCCGCCGGTGCCAATGCTCGTCCTTCTGGTGCGGCTGGTGCTGGTGCACGGCCGGCCGGGCGCCAGGGAGGAGTCGGCGGAGCGCTGCAGGTGAAGCCTGCCGCTGCGCATGCACGGGTCACTCCTGCGCCGAGGGCA